ACTCTCAAGGTGTTCACTGTTTATTAGTCACTATCATTCTTCTATTTCCCACAGTCTAATCCTCTGCCTTTCTGGGGGAAAAATACAGATTTTCCTCACCCAGCATCCCCCTACCTCCCGGGATCATTCTGATGGTTTGCTGGTTTGCTGAGTATGTCTCTTCTTAGCTACTCTCCACCCCCACCCCCATAACCACATACCCTTCACAAAGGACCAGGAGACACTGCTGCAAACAGCTTGGAGAGGGTGACCATCCCAGCCGTCCACTCTGTGATATGATGCTTCCTTTAGGACCTTTCCCCAGAGATCCTCCACTCTGTGTCACACACTATGCTTAGTCCAGAGGAGCAGAGAACTCGGGAGGTGATGCTGATGGCAGAGGTGGGAAGTGGGAGGGGGCTGCTAACATGGAGCAATACCCAGAACTGAGGGCACCCCTCAGAATGTGGGGGCCTGCTCAGAGACAGTTCTCATACAGAGTGACATCATTTTCTAGAAGCCGAGTTCTCTAAATCTTGCTGTGATGAATCACTTCTAAAAATGTTGGTGTTTAACACCCAGGGAGTCTTCTCAGCACCAGGCAGGGCATGTGCTGGGGAAACAAAACTGAGTGGCACCCGCATCTGCCTGCACACAGTCCCTGGCGGTTCCCAACTTCTTGTGGATCACGGGTTTTTGTGACACCCTGAAAAAAGCTATGAACACTTTCCCAGGAAAGGGGGATAGATGCACACAATGGAGCGGGTGACTCAAAGATCCTTAGAGAATGCCCCTCCTCCTCTGGCCCCCAGTGTATCTAAATTTAAGAATCCCCTGGTTTGGTGGGAGATGTTCATAAGTCACAAGTAAAATACAACACCACATATAGATAGACACCTGCAGATACTCTGGGGACCCCAAGAGGCACCTAACCTAGCCTGGGGGCAGGGGCAAGCAGGGTGTCCTGGAGGAGTGATCATGTTAAGCAGAATACAGACATGTGTTGCTTAACCACTGGGATGTGTCCTGGTTTCGTCATCATGCAGCAGTCTAGATGCCTCCATGGCAGAGCCTACTGCACACGCAGGCTGTAGGTAGGGGCCATCATCACCTGGAGGCCCATCACTAACACATGCACCTCACTGATGCGGCGACACATGACTATTCATGGATAGATAGAAATAAGCCAGGCAAAGAAGCCAGGGACAGGCCTGCTGTCTGAGCTAAGTCTGCTCCTCAAGGACCTGCAGGTATTTTGGGAGCCAGGCACTCAGGCTGGGAGTAGGGGAGGACTTAGCAATGTGCCGAGGGGCTGAGTCCCAGAAAGTTATGCTGGGCACTTGGTGTCCTTCCTGTAACTGCTGCTCAAACTCCCTGGAGAAGTGGGCAGCCATGGTAGCACCCCCTGCGACTCAGATGAGGACATTGAGGGTCAGCCTGGAGAAGGGACACCTCAGGCTCACGCTGTCAGAGTGAGTCAGCTGCAGCCTAGACCCTGCTCTGGTGCTGGTGCCACCCCTGCCCCTGATACTGACATCTGTCCCAGGATCCTTTGTACCCTCCCCCCCCCTTTGTGTCCTTTTGTGTCCTCATTTGGGGGCTGGAGGGGGGTGGGGAGAGATCCTCTGAGGGGGTCCAGTCTCAGGTGGGGGGTGCAGAGTCAAAGGCTAGACACACTCACCTCTTGGATTATGCTCAAGGGTCCCTGGTTCCCTGCATGGAGAACATAATGACAGAAGATTGTCTGAATGAAGTTAAAGTCAGTAAGTCATGGCTGTCGCTGCTGAGATTTTGGGGAGGCTTGGGGGGAGCAAGGGCAATGAGAGAATGAGTAGACTTTCAGAGAGTAATAGAAAGGGAAGGGCTATGCCCCCAGGCCACAGCCCTCAATTCTTTTCAGCTGTGCCAGGCTTCACCCAGTAAGTACTGTGCTCAGTACCATGGGGTCACCAAGAGACAGAACACACCGTCCCACCCCAGGAGGGCTTATAATCTGAATCCAGGAAACCAGATTCAGAAAACAAAACCAAAAGCCATTTAGTACAGGGCAAGCAGTTCAGACTCTTGGGTGGACAGATTAACTTCGTAACTGGGGAAAATGATAGGAACATGAAGGTAGGTTGGGACAGTCCAAAAAGGCTTCCTGGAGGAGACTGGATTAAATTCAGGCTATAAAAGTATGGCAATTTGAAGAGCTGGGAAGAAAGTGAGATGAGGGGATGACGAGCAGAGTGCCAAAGCCGAGCAAAGTGCCAAAGCCAAGGCATGGAAGTAAGAAGGGAGGATGAGGTGTGGGACCCACGTGGGGCTTAGTCTTAACAATTGGCCTCTTCCCTCCCCATGACCCAGCTCTGGAGAACTTGAGACATGACCCAGAGGCATCCGTGTGCATCTATGCATCCCAGGCCCAGGACCACATCCTGGCCAGCTATTGGCGGAACTCCTGGCCGATGCCTCACGGGGACTCATGGGTGTGTGACCCCGCCACCACTCACCGCTGGAACCCTAGCTGTGAGAATCTGCCCACTTCCCACCAGCGGCGCTCCTGGATCATGCAGGCACTGAACTCCTGGAAGATGTCCTTGAAGCAGTGATGTCCCTGAGTCCCGAGCCCTCTTCAGGGGTAGTCACAACCTCAGCCATACTCACTACAAATGCCACGTGGTTTACCATCCCCCTGAGTGTTTCCTTGTGGTAGATATCCTGTAGTCTGGAGCACCATTACTTTGTGTGACAAATCCGTGCAATGATCATGGCCTTCACGTTGACTCAGTTAATATGTATGGACTTACATAGCCTGTTTTTTTTTAAAAGATTTATTTTATTTATTTATGCATACAAGAACTGGGGCCTAGGCCAGGGGGTGGGGAGGGAGTGAGAGGATTCACCAGAGACAGAGTGGGGAGGAGAACATGTGGGTTAGCTCTCTGGCAGAGATCTAAGTCATGCCCAGGTGGCTGGTGATAGCTTAAGAGCCCTGAGACTTAATCCCCGCACCACCAGGGAGGCCCAACATAGGCTGTTTTGTCCACATTTATAAGTCAGGGAGCTCAGGCTCAGAGAGGTGAAGAGGCTTCTTCAGGGTCACATAGCACATCTGCTGGATGCCTCCGTTTTCTTTCCCTACAGGGAGTGTAGAACAGCAAAAGGAGATGATGATTTATTTGTGTAGCGTTTGGGAGATGAAAAGGGGAGAAAGTGAGATAACTCATCCCCATGCCATGGCGTGTATCTCAGAACCTTGACTGTTGAGTCCCATCCTTGGGTCTTTGCCCAGAGATTGGCTGCCACTCGTTTGAGGAATATTTAGTGGCTCCCAAGATGGACCAGGCTAGCTCTGGGTGCCAGAGATAGATGAACAAGATCCAGGCCCTGGGAAGTTCCTAGGCTGATGCAATGGTTCTCGGCTCGGGTGATTTTGACCCCCATGCAGTATTTGGCAATGTCTAGTGACAAATTGTTACAACTTGGGGAGCAGGTTGCTATTGGCACCTAGTGGGTAGAGGCCAGGGATGCCGCTCAGCACTCTACAAGATATAGGACAGCCTCCATAGTGAAGAATTATCTACTCCAAATTGTTAAAAGTGCTGAGGTTGAAAAGGTTTGTGGTCGAATGGAAGTCTCAGAGACATATAAAGATACCAACAGCCCCGTCTATCAGTGCCGAAGGGAAATGGGGGACTCTGGAGTCCAGAGGAAGTACACAGGTCAACTAGAGTTGGGGTGTTAGGGAAGGCTTCTCAGACAAGAGTCCCCCGCCGCCAATCTGGGTGGTTTACAATGATGACCACATGTTGGACATGTATGGAGAAAAGTAGGGCACATGGAACTTAAGACCAACAGCAAATCAGGGTGGGAAGAGAGGGGTTGGTGTTTCCCCACTGGGTGGCCACTCAGCTCCAGGAGCAGGTCTGAGGAGGGAGGGGGGTTGAATTTGGTGGTGAGATTGAGGCGGTTGGGTGCCATGCTAGTGGAAATGTCCACCAGGGGCCTGGCTGCACAGGGTGGAGCTCAGCATGCCCGTGAACTGCCAGGTAGAAACACACTGGAGTGTCATCTGCTCTGATCTCACCTTCTACTCACCCCCTTTCTCCTCCTACTCCACCCAACCCCACCCACTATGTGCTTTCCCCATCAGTCCTCTATCCTGACCGCCATCCCTGGCCACGACATTCCTCCTCCTCTGACTGCATGACGGCTCACCCAGTTTAAAACTTCACCAATAGCTCTTGGTACTTCCCGACTGTAGGGGCAGGAAGAACACTGAGCAGGTTTTCTATGACTCCAACAGACGGAGGAGTCAGAGTCCTGGAGACCTCGGTGGGTTTTGCAGGCTTTTATTGGGATTTACCAGGTATACGACAGGCAGGGGTGCTGGGGGGCCGGGAGCCAGGCAGGCCTCCCAGCCCCCAGCAAGTCTTCACTCTTCCTGGGCTCTCCGGTGTTCTCTGCTTCTCTGCTCTCTGCTTCTACTGGCGTCCCCGTGACGCCGCCCTTAAAAGCCCAGTCTCAGCCCAGGTGAATCCCATCTACCTAGGCCCACACCCTACTCCAGGTGCCCGCCATCAGGCATGCATTCAGGACCGCAGGATCCATCATCTATCCTGATGGCGGGAGGGCAGAAAAGCCTGATACTTACCTTACCCTACACCGACGAAATCTCACACCTCATGTGTTCATGGTGTGTTTTTCTCTGCTAGCTTCTCAACTCCAAGAGGGCAGGGATTTTATCCGCTCTGCCCACCACTGTATACCCAGCGACTAAAGCTGAAACGCAGGAGTTTAGGAAATGTGTTGACTGACTGCACAAACGCGTGAATGAAGTGGTAGAGGGGGACTGTCGGGGCCTGGGTTTATCCAGCACCCTCAAAGTACTCTGGGATCTTACAGCTGGGGCACAGCTGAGGCGGCAGGTGCTGGGTGGGGAGGGTGGGGGAGGGAGGCGGGGCCGGACCCCTCGTTCGGCGGAACCCGAGGCGCGTGGGCCCGCGCAGTCCGGAGGGTTGAGGAGAGCGCGCCGCGCCGCCGGAAGTTGCTGCGCATTTCTTGGCACCTGGACTGGTAGTGGCAGGAGAGCCGAGCAGTTATGGCCCAGTCTGAGCCGGACGCCGCCTCCGACGACGCCATGGACTCGTTCCTGGAAAAGTTCCGGAGCCAGCCTTACAGCGGAGGCTTCCACCGGGACCAGTGGGAGGAGGTGGGCGGGCCCCGGGGCTCCGCGTGTGTGTGGGGGGGGCAGAGGGGTGGGACACGGGGAAGGTGACGGGGGCGCGAGGGGACGAGGCGGGCATCGGTCGGATCCCTGGGACTCCGCGCGCCCCTTACCCCCTCAGACTCCTGGCTGCCAGCGGATAGGTGTTTTCTACGTAGTGCCAAAAATCTGCCGCTAGGTTTTGAGGGTCATTACGCTGTCAGAACGTTTAAGAGTCCAGGTTTTGGAGTCAGACAGATCAAGTGACTCCATCACTTCTGGCTCTTAAACCGTATCAGTTACTTAACTTCTCTGAGCCGGTTCCCTCATCACTAAATGTGCCCTAACTGCAGCAGCAATCTCGCAGGGCTGTGGCAAACATGCCACGTGTGCCAGGAAACTAAGAGCCCTCGATTAATGGTAATTACTACCCATTTTGTAGAATGAGAACTGAAGGAATCTTTAGGAGTCATTATCCTGCACTCTCATTTTACACATAGGAAACTGAGGCCTGGGCAGGGGGAGAGACAGACAACTATGAAGATTTGCAAATCATGATAAGTAAGAAAACTTTGCTATAGAGACATGGAATTAGATCTACTCAATGGAAAATTTGTATTTGAATTACTCATTTTCCTCTTAATCTCCAGGAATTTGAAAAGATCCCCCTATTTATGAAGAAAGCGCCATCAGAAATTGATCCTAAAGAGAATCCTGACTTGGCTTGTCTCCAGTCAATTATTTTTGATGATGAGCGATCTCCAGAAGGTATCGTCCATGACTAACATTTGTTTTGTGCTTCCATTGACTTGAGATAAAGAGTGAGTCAGAGAAGTTCTGACTGATAACAGAAAGTAGGTATCTGAGTTAAATCTTCACTGTTTATTCCGCATGTACTTCTTTGGATATTTACAACATGCTAGGTATTAAGGATATAGAGATGAATAAGATAGTTCTTGCCCTCAAAGGTCAGTGGGTAGCCAAATTATCCTAAAGAATCAAGACAAATTGATGAGTGCCAATATGTAGCTATATGGTAGGTGCAGTTGGAACACTGATGGGGCAGGGGGAGAAGTGGAAATTTGAACTGAAACTTGACAATTTTGTAGGCTCTTACTAGGGTGAATAGGGGAGTTTTCACTGCAGGGATAAAACAACATGAGCAAAAGCATAATTTCCCCCCATTTCCTTGGTAATTTTTTTAAAAAGTTCTTAAAGAGTTAGGATAAGTATAATATTTTTTCCTTTATGCTTCATTTTTGTAAGCACCTAGTAATAATATGGTTGTAGGCTATTTGGAACTGATTGTAGAATTAAGTTGTATTCAGTCTTGTTTTTCCAGGTTGGTATTCAGTTTTATAGTACATTTTCCCCTATTTTCTCATATATTGCATTATTGAATCATTTGGAAGCTGTTTATAATGAACATTTAAAAAAATAGAAAATAGTGATTATTTCTTCTCTTCTTTGCAGAACAGGCCAAGACCTATAAAGATGAGGGCAATGATTACTTTAAAGAAAAAGACTATAAAAAAGCTGTGATTTCGTACACTGAAGGACTAAAGAAGAAATGTGCAGACCTTGATTTGAATGCTGTCCTTTATACCAACAGGGCAGCAGCACAGTACTATCTGGGTAATTTATTTTATTATTTAGTGTTTTCTAA